AGTGCGTTTTCACTTCTAATCATTTACAAAGCATATATACATCATAAACAATTCATCCCCACCCCTATTTCACAATTATAACTCCATCTTCATCATCTTCCAAACTCAAAAACTCAGCTCTGCAACTTGACTTCTCTAGTACGACTCAACCACTTTCAACATAAAATAAGAGTTGCATTAGCTTCCTAGGAGTCCAGTGAAGCTATCTAGATCATCACCACACTTCAAGGGTTGATCTAACTCCATACACGATTTCTAATTTTGAGGTAATTATTCTCAACTTTGAACTCTCTCTACAAGTATCATTAATGGTTACTTTGTGAATAAAAAATGTAGACATCATAGCCCTGAAGCAAACCATGCCCTTAGTTTTCATTTATGTTGCCTGAGTGATGCAAATTTTGAAGATGAACTTTCTGAAAAAATTAGGTTTTTATTTGGTACCAGTAAAATTCTCATTCACCTTTGATTTATAGCTCATGAAATTTATATGATTGAATTCGTATTGAAAAATGGAGCAAGTTTCATGTTTATATTTTTTGATTTGGTTGAGAAATGAGGAAGTTAGAAAATTCAAAAATGGTGTTGGAGATGCTGGCGCGAGGTTAGGGATGAAGTTCCATTAGGAAGAGGTTTATTTTAAATTTATTAGTTGTTGTTTTATAAACGGATGAAACAGCCACCACAATGGCAGAGGAAGTGCACGTAAGGCATTGAACTATAGGGACCTAGGTTCGAGCCCCGTGGTACCCTTTTATGTTTTTTCATGTTTTCTTTGCAGATTCAGTGCGTACAAGCTCAATACGTTCGCCAATACACCACAAAGCGAGCGCATGGTATGCCTCAGAAAATCAGCCACATGGAATCATAAACAAGGCGCCTAGGCCTCTTGACTTGGGCCTCTTCTTTTTATTTTTTACTTCCTCTCACCACCCTTTTAACTAAAAACAGCAAGCCCATTTTTTTACTTTATTTCTGGTTTCAAACAAAAAATTGTTTTGGACCCAGCGCCCCCATTTTATTTTTAACCCCCATTTCACTTTTCAACACCCAGTCCAATTATTTTCATTTTCTTTTATATTTTCTTTATTTTAATTTATATATTTATTTTATCTAAACCAAAAACCACCAAAAATATATTTTCTTAATTAAAAATATTTTAATGTGAGTATTTTATTAAAATAAACTTTATCATTTCTTTTACATTGTAGAACATTTTCTTAATCTATATTAACATTTAAATTATTTCACAAATAAATTTAGACTTAGGGTTTATTTTAACTAACTTAAATTTTATGTTTTGATTAAATAATTAATTAGCTCCTCTTATAATTAAATTTAATTAGTCTAATTAGGTTAACTATAAAAACCTTTTTCTCCATCAAAAAACCCTAAAAAAACAATTTCTTTTTGCTTCTTCATCTTTACATTTTTGTATTATTATTGTAATTCATATTCAATGGTTTGTAATAGTAATTAGGGCTTTATTTCTTTCCTCTCCTCATTTACAAACGTGTACCCCCATTCCCAAGGTATTGTAATAGCGTAGGACTTTTAAATTCCGCAATTTATCGCTTTCCTTATTATTGCTAGTAATTAGAATTTGCATAACAAGACTAAAATCAAACCTTAGAAAAACCCTAAATTCAAAGATAAGAATACTTGAAAACAAAACACTTTACACACATGCACCTCTAGGGTAACCCACACTTGTTGCCTCTGATTTAAACAGTCATGTTCCTCGAACGTGATATGTTTTAGCAAAGACCCTCAATTAAAAGATCGTAGTCCCTCGACGACCCTTCAATGTTGCCTTCGGTAAACGATCTTAGTACCTTATGACAATTGCTAAAACATTCTTATAAGTTGCCTTTTATGATTGTACGATGACCCACATCCGTCCCTCATATCCAATGATATGGCTTCCTACTAACTAATGGTAGACAAGCACTATCTAAAGGAGGAGAAAAAGAAAAAAGAATTCTGGAGTAGGTAGATTGCTCGTAATTGCTTGCTCATAAATAAAACTATTTCCACACTTCACACTTTCAAAACACTTTTCAAACAAATATTTTGTATACATTCTCAACGATACGAGAATCATTACAAAATTTCCTTACATTGGCATCTTCAAAACATCTTTCAAAATATTCTCTTTCAACAAATATTTTCAAAACCAACACTTTGTATACATTCTCAATGATACGAGAATTATTGCAAAGTTTGCCGAACTAAGGCGTTTTCAAAATATTTTCAAACTTACACATTCACAAAGCATTTCAAAGTGAGCTAGCAATTATGAGCCCGTAGATAACTACGGATGAAAAGGATGCTAACACCTTCCCTTTTCATAACCTACTCCCCGAACTCAAGAAAATTTTCAAAAGGTCTTTCCTGTTCTTTTCACCCTTTCCTTTATTGGATAAAAGAAAAATCGGTGGCGGCTCTTGCTATCCGCAACATTTGCGATAAAATGCAAAACAACCAAGTCAATTCTCCCACCATATGACAGGTTGCTACCAAACAAAAGGAAAAAAAATATATGATATGTTCTTTGTGTCATATATGCCACCCTAACAAGGGGAATGAACTGTCGAGTCATGCGACGTTAAACGGAGCACTTTGTGAGAGACAACCCACACTTTTAAATAACTTAGTTTCTTTTTATATTTGTTTCATTTTGTCTACAGGTAATAAAAACGGAGCCTTACTGGTGAAAGCTAGGAGGCAGTTGTTGGTGTTGCATTTCCCTATGTGAGTCACCTTCCTCGAGCTTGTTCTGAAACATTGGAGTCAATGTTTAGTTCAAGTTTGAGGAGAGGGGATTTATTTCTTTTCTTTTATTGCTTTTATTTTTGATTTGTTTGTTGATTTTATGCTAAGTGTTGTGTAAATCCATGAGTTGAAGTTCTTCCCAAATTTTGACCGATTTTTTTTGTTTTGTTTTGCTCAAGAACGTGCATTTCATAGAGATCCAGAATAGTATATAGAGATAAAGGAATGATTGTTTTGGAGTAGAAAGTTCTGAATAATGTGACAGTGATACGAGTCTAACGTGTAAATTTGTATCATAATGCTTGAATCCTGTGAAGTACTCCTGAAGTAGTTTATCTTTACAGTCTGGCATAATATAGATTCACATGCATGTATGATTGGTGGAGAAATAAATAAATTTGACATTAAATGATGAAAAAAAGGTAAAAGGCAATTGGCTCGCTAAGTTGGGTAGCCCTGACTCGGTTATTCAGCCCAAAGGGGGTTGATCCCCAAACGTCGTCCATAAAGGACAATATATAAAGTGAAAAGTTTTAAAAATTTCATCTGAAGTTAAAAAGGAGCAAAATCCCTTATTTGGTGCCTGAATAAAAAATTTCTTGATTAGTCTTGTGCGTGTGATGATCATCAAAAATTCTCATTGTCTTAATTTGACTGTCCGAATGAAAAAGGAGGAAAATCAGAAAAAGACTTAAGTACAAAGCATAGTTAGAGAGGTATCTGAAGAGGAAGCTCGAGATTTAAAGGTTCTTACACAAACTCTTCGCGTCATGTGAACATCAGACGTACTGCTTTTTGATCAATTTGAAAGGATGTCTCACGTATGAGTACCAGACTGCTGTGATTTTCATGAATTCTTGTAATGGTCACTTGAGGTCAAGCAACATATTAAGTTTGGAGGAGTTTGATCGGTGGTTTTTCCACCTTTATTTACAGTTGATTTTAGTTATAGTATTTTTATTTTGTGAAGTGTTTTATTTCATTCTTCTATGTCATATCCAATATGGTCATGTTTCTTTATTCGCTTCAACTCATCTTTCTTCACTTCAATAATATGTAGTACTATAGGCAAAGGCAAAAAAAATTGTATCGAGATATATCTCTGAAATATGAAAATACATCTCCAGATACTTTTTTTTCTAATAAAATAGAGGTGTCTCACTTACAACGCCTTTGTTAATGTGATTTTAAATGCATTCGAAAACATATCTCTAAACATAACAAAAACATTTTTGAATTTTCGGAGATGTGAGTCTATAAGGGTGGAAAGAGTAACCTCGCTTTTATACGATGAAAACTTCTCAATATTAGGTTAATCATGACTTTGCTAGTCAGTTGTAGAAAAAAATCTCAATATTAGGTTAATCATGACTTTGCTAGTCAGTTGTAGAATTCCTTAGTTGAACATGCTATATGTCATTCAAATAGCTACTACAATTTATCAATGTATTTGGAAATATCATAAAGAATATTTTTTAAGTGCAGTATATTTAACCTTCATAATGTGAATAGAACCTGATAGAGGTAGAAGTATTGATTGACAAAATTTGCAATCAGTTATGTTACTCATAAAAATACATACACCCAAATTATGGACGAAAAATTGGATGTTGATTCATGAACTAGTCAGAAATGTTTTAAAAAGATAGTGTGTTGAGAAAAAGAAAGAGTGAACTGATGGAAAATTGAAGGAGATTAGCTTGTGTAGTTAGAAATTAGTTGCAAGGTAGTTGCTATAATATCTTTATTTAGCTCTTGCAGAATCTACACAAGGGTTCATTGATTATAAAGATTAAGTACATGTTTGGAACCATGTTGAACTTGATGAAGTGAATTTGATGAAATCACGGTGGCATTGTAATTTTGTTGAAGCTACAAAGTGTAGTTTTTGCCAAACTCATCACGGCAGGCGGCACTGTGATCTGTTGAAGCTACAAAGTTGGTAGTTTTTGCCAAACTCATCACAGCAGCACTGTGATTTGGTGAAGCTACAAAGTGTAGTTTTCGCCAAAGTCCGACAATCTAGATTTGAGACTGACTGTATTTCTTTATTCTCTTTTGTCAACTCTTCATTGATAACCTTTAGATATAGTTCATAAAAAAAAAAAAAACTATAAATGGTTGTGAACTAATACCATTTATTTCTTTAACTCAACCTATATGTGTAGTGTTGTCCTTCCGAAAAGTGTTGAAAAGCAGTGTGATGTCAGGAGATCTTATCTTTCTCACAATGACGAACGTCTCCAAGTGTTGCCTTGCCTGCAAAATGCAGAAGTTAGACATCCCAGAAAGAATATGGGCTACACTTTACCAAATATAAAAAAAGGCTTACACGAGCTCAACGACTAGAGCAGATGCGCCTCCTCCCCCATTGCAGATGGCACCAACCCCATACTTTCCACCCTTATGTCTCAATACCTGAAACATAACCCGGGCTAAGGTATTCACAAGATCACAATAATCGGGAAAAAGACTAAAGCATTTCCTAGAGTCATGTGTTTCATCTTAATGGAGAAGTATAAGAACATGAGTTCCAACGGTGAAAGAAAATGATACATAGAATAACCGACTTCTCAAGTTACCCCTAATAATGTAACTAAGATGCGAGCTCCACTACAACCCAACGGATGTCCCAATGACACAGCACCTCCATGTGCGTTAACTCTTTCCTGCATTTGATAGCAAGTACATGAATTATCTATTTATCAAGCCATTATCTATACCAGGACACAATGGAGGAACCAATATGCAGTAGCCAAAAAATGACTATGCTAATATGCAAAAAAGCCAAAGAGCTGAGTAACATGAACCCTCACAGGATTAAGACTGAGAAGCTTCTGATTCGCAAGAGCCACGACCTGCATAGAGGTTAGAACATGATTAGCAAAACGTAAAGCAGGAGAGCATGAACAAAATAAAATATGTGACGAATCCCATACTGAAAAGGCTTCATTTATTTCATAATAATCAATTTGAGAAGCCTTCAGACCAGCATTTGATATAGCTTTAGGTATTGCAAGGGAAGGAGCAGTTGTAAATAATTCGGGTGCCTGTAAAAATAGTTTTGTTTCAGTTTCCATTCCAAATGCTTGTCAATCAAGATTTACTTTAACTTGTCATCGAACCTGAGCTGCATCTGCAAATCCTTTTATCTTTGCAATTACATGCAAACCAAGCTCGCGTGCCTTCTCTTCGCTCACTAGCACTAATGCAGCCGCACCATCACTAGTCAGATCAATAAAAAAATGCATTATCAACAAAAGATCGTGCAACTTAGAACCTTACGGTTATTGGTTACCATACCCCAAAGGATTCACATGGGAATTGGAGAATGCAAGTGCTGTACAATATACAATGCATACCCAAAAACACACATATGAGGTGAGATAGAGAGAGTGAGAGAGAGGAAGGGAGAGACCTTATGCTAGAAGCATTGCCAGCAGTCACTGTACCCCCAACCTTTTTAAAGTTTGGTCCAAGCTTCCTTAACTTTGAAGCATCAAACTGGAAACACGAATACGGAAGTTATTTAGATAAACACGGGTTTTCACCATATTCCAAAAGGGAGCAAGTAAATTTCGTACAAAAGTTTAGTTTGTATTTAATATAGGTCGAACCATGGCAGTAACAAAATGCTAAATGCAATGGTTAACACTAAAAACAACAATAGATAATAACAGATCACGCACAGGTGATAATAACAGTGTAAACCTAAATCTATGAGTATGCACACTACAAACTAAATGGTACATTAAGAATAATTCACATGCTTCAAAATTTATCTATTTACCTTCCCCAAACCTTCATCTTTATCTACTAGTGTGGAAGGCTTTCCTCTTCCATTGGAAATTTCAACCTGCAAGAAGGAGAAAGTGTTGATTGAAAATCACAACAACACTGCATAAGTTATCAGAAGTTTCATTGTAGGCAAGAATCGTATTCATACCGGAACTATCTCCCAAGCAAAATGACCATCCTTTTGTGCAGATATTCCTCTCTCAAAGCTTTGAATGGCATAAGCATCCTGAGAAACAACATATAGATATTATATTGCAGAGCAAAACAACGTAATCAAACCCAATTCAACTAAGAATTCAAAGTAGTAGAAAAAATGTTCAAGTGACATATAATACCCAAAAGAAAGTTCAAAGGGGGGAAGAGTCATGCGACAAGAAAGTACATGTATTGGATCAAAATTAGGAACTTTGTTATTCCAAAACGATTAAAAGGGTAGTGGTAGTTGGAAGAATCATGGCCCTTTCAACGATATTGTCAGGCTTTTCAGATGTTAATATTGATTAAGTCAATTGAAGCAACTAAAGGAGTTGTTAAAGCAAGATCTAGCGCAAAATTCAAACAAAGTTCCATTGGCTAGGAACACTACCTGGTCATCTCTAGTTATGGAATGTTGATCTGCACACAGTTCGGCACAAACTCCCATACCAAAATCATTATAGACATCCCAAAGACCATCTTTGAGCATACCGTCTATGATAGTATCATGCCCTAACCGAGATCCTTTCCTTGCTTGGACAATATACTTAGGTGCATTTGACATGCTTTCCATGCCGCCAACCACAACAACGTCATTGGAACCCAACTCAATTGTTTGTGCAGCAAGCATGGTAGCTGAAATGAAAACACATAATTTCATGAATTGAGATATATATAAACGGGAATCCCCTTTTACAAAAAAAAAAAAAAAAAAGAGGAACATACCTTTCATCCCTGATGAACAAACTTTGTTAATAGTAGTGCATACAACAGATGTAGGTATTCCAGCAGCTAATGCAGCCTGTCTAGCAGGAGCCTGTCCTAAGTTAGCACTGAGAACATTCCCAAAAAAGACTTCTTGCACAAGGGACGGATCAACATTAGCTCTGGTGAGGGCAGCTGCAGGAAAAGTAGGTATTTCATTGGAAAGTGGCGTTATAAAGAAAAAGCATTACAAGTGTGTATAGCAATAGATACCTTGAATAGCGAGTGAGCCTAGGTGTGTAGCTGAAAGAGATGAAAGGGAACCAAGGAAACCACCCATTGGTGTCCTTGCAACACCAACAATACAAACATCTGTAATAATCAAGACAGATCCATAATAATTGTTGGTATTGAATATGCATAACTGAAGCAACAAGAGAGACACAAACCTCGGGATTCTGAAGACATGGAGCGTCGGAAAAGATCGAGAGATGAAATTCAAAGCGACACAAGAGAGAGAAGGTTAAACACCTTAATAATACTAGTAGTACTTGTAAAGGGACCCACACCCACGCACACTTGTATTCTCTTCTTGTCTTTTTCCCATATCTATCCCTCTATTCTTTAGTACATATCACAAAGATACGTGTTACTCACTCACCAATTCTCATCTCCTATTTTTTTTTTTTTTTTATATCTCTTTTAAAATTGGAATTTTAATCTTTTTATATTAGTTTTTTTTTAAAGGATTTTAATCTTCTTTAAATTTGAAGGTAATTTGTAATGACATGAAATTCTCATTAATTACGTATCACTGAATTATTTAAAACAAATTTATGTTAAACACATCGTCAATATGAATTTTATGTCATTGAAAATTATCTTCAAGATTTATAAAGGATTAAAAAACTAAAATTAAAAAAAATTAAAATTTTGAATTTTAAAATAGATAAGTCAAAGTCCAAAAAAAAGATAATAGAGAATTCAAAATTACAATTAAACCTCAACAAAAATGTATCCAAATATAAAAGAAAATATCTTAGTAGTATTCTCTAAACACTAGTCTTAGATACATGCATCCTTAAAGGAATTAATTCTTACTATCCTCGTTCCAATTAAGGTTTTTAATCAATTTCGAACATTTTTGTCAACTAATTGTGTCATGTGAAGAACATTTAGTGAATTTAATTGTTTCACATCTTCACATTTAGTGTATATTATATATCGTATAATATTCAAGTTTAATCGATTGTTGTTTGTTTGAGTTTTAATTTGGTTATATTTGTGGTTAGAGTTTTGTTTGATTTTATTCTCTAATTCAAAATCATCATGATAACACTATTCGGAGACCACATCCGGATAGTGTTATTCAAACATTAGAAAATTTTATATATTTCTATTTTTTAAAGATATTATACAGGTTACTTTGAGTTGGGTTTCAATAATTTTAATATGTTTACTTATGTTTACTAATGTTAACTATGTGTCTTGTGTGATTATAAAAAAATAGATGATGAAAAAGAGACGTATAAACATGATCGGTTATCACAACATACTTTAGTATGCAGAGAGAAAGCAAATCAATATGGGGTGAAAATACACAATGGGAAATATGACAATCATTTCGCACTACTCTTTCAACATCCTCACATGGTCATGCATCATGATCTCATGACAGACCTCGGGTTCATGCACTTACTCTTTCCTTACTTGCTTTTACTACACGTGCTCGCATCATATTTGCTTCTATCCCACATGCTCTCATTGGACCTACTCTTGTCGTACCTGGTAAATTTCCTAGACGCTCAGAGGACATGTTTACTTCCACTATATGCAGGTTATGTTGTTGCTCATGTACGGGATAAAGAGGTAAAATAAATATTTACTTATGATTTTAAACATCTAATTTATGGTCATTATTTTTAATCATTTGACATTGGTGTATTAATTTTTGTAGTAGCCTAACATTAAAATCCATTAATCATGGTAGGAAGATAACACACTTGTTCGAGTAAGATGAACCATGATTTTTGGATATATTAGAAGCATATAGACTAAAGGATGTTTATAGAATTGAATTTGGTTTCATTGACCGTGGTATTTTGTTTGTCTTTGTTGAGAGATGGCGCTCTGAGACTTCTTCATTTCATCTTTCCATTGATGAGATGAGTATTACTCTTAATGATATATTATGTATCATTCATCTTCCTATCAGAGACAGATTATTGGATCAAGATCCAACTTAGAAAGTCGATGCACTAGACTTAATGGGTATACACTTAAAAGTTTATTCGGGTAAGGCTCGATAGGAGATTCTATGTATCTGAGAAGCACATGCAACACTTTCATTTCTAAAGGCTAATTACAAATACTGCTTGATTGTTGTTGTTTACCATGTTGATGATGATGCTCAGGTCACTTATCATAGACAATGTGCATTGAGGACATATTTTTTGTATTTGATTGGCACAATTATGTTTGTGGAAAAAAGTCTGACTTATTTCTATTTTTTTACATTAATTACTTAGACTCACTAGTATAATTGGGGAGTGTCTTGTTTGATTTACTCATACTTAAAATTAAATGAAGTAAGTTAGTGAAAGACAAGACAAATGAAAGAAATCAGTTATCTCTTTTAAGTAACATAAATACATGTCCAAAGATGTTGTTGAGTGTGATACCCACCTTACTTAAAATTACATCCACATTCACTTACTTTGGTGTCATTATATTTTAACTTTCAATATGTTCTATATATTTACTACTTCTTTCACATCTCAGCGTAGCAAATTTATGTCTTCTATCAAAACCAAAATTAGATCTCCTGATTACTATCCCAAAACTTAATTTGATAGCTGTTGTACCCCAAAATTTTCCCTCTCACTTATCAAGAATTCTCTCACAAGATCTCTCTGACTCAAGATTGGATTAGGGTTTGACCAGCTCAAGATACCTCCTCATGCACTGATGACCAAAATTAGGGTTTGAGTTTTCACAAGGATTTTTGGACTATGATTGCTTCATATGACTTTCAAGGATCATTAGGGACCCCCAATATTACTCATGTCAAGTTTCAAGCCTTGAATCACACTTTTGATCAGTTAATTGACAGTTGACCTAAAAATCAGCTGTATTGGGAGAAAAGTCAACCATGGCCAATTTACAGTCAAAATTCATAATTTTTTATCCACGTCAACATCTTAGACTCATATGTATCATTTGATCAAAGTTTGGATCATAATTCCTCAAGAAATTTGATCAAATCATCAAAAGGGCAAAATGGTCAAAATTAGGGTTTTGACTGGGAAGGGGCAATTTCTGATTTTTAATCTAGAAAATGATAAATTGGTTTGAAACATGATTTCAAGAGTTCAATTGCATCATTTTGACCTAATAAAATGATTCAAAACATTGCAAGTCCATTGGATTGACAGATGGATTTTTCAGTCAACTGATCAAAAGTCAATTGTATACTGAAAAGTCAAACTTTGACTTTTTGGTCAAAATCAAGTGCCAAAGATCATAATTCATCAAAACATGTCAAAATGTGAAACTTGTTCATCAAAAAATCAAGGATTTAAGATTTTGTTTTGAAATGTTGAAATTTCTTAACTTAGAAATTTTTCCAAGTATAGGAAATTTCTTATTTTTTCTCAACTTTGAGTCAAATTTTTACCATGATGCAAGATGATTAAAAGGAAACTTCCAACATGAAAGTTGTAGATCTCCATGAAATATACAACTTTGATTCATATAATTTCTCCTAAAAATGCTTGGATCTTAAGATATAATTTTGTGAATACATGCTCATGAACTAAAATAACTTAGTGAAATTTTGCCCTAGTTAGGCAGGTTTTTGACCTAACTTCATGCCAATTTTTCACATAGTTCCAAGGGGAATTTTTCAAAGAAATTCAAAGATGAGTTGTACATCAAATTGCAAGCTTTCCAAAATATCTAAGAACTCCTTGAGATCATGCTTGAGTAGGGAGAATCGAAGAGATGAAGTTGGTAATTTATCACTTTAATTTCAAGCCATTTCATGATGGACAAAAATTCAAATCCAAGCCTAGGCTGCATAATCTTTGCTTTGCAGGCCTCAAACTTGTTTCTCACTCCATAATTAAATGTTTACACAACTTCTAGAAATTTAATCCAAACATTTGAGCCTTTATCCAAGTTACAATTCCATTTATGGCACAAAGTTGTCATTTCCATTTTGATAAAGCATTACTTTTGCCTTTGTCAACTTCTTGAGCCTCTCAACTGTTTTCTCTGCACACAAGCAAAGTAAAAACCAAAAGAAACTTATCTAAGATCTCTACCAACTCAGATCAGGCTTGTACAACACTTAGAGACTTGTCTTCTCACTTTTCTTCAAAAGCAAGTTATAGAGCCAAAAGGCTATAACTCAAACCTGGAGTGGAGTTGATCTCTAACCTTTTCCATACATATACACAAGTGTATTGCAACATAACACACGAATACTAAGACTCATAAACACTCCCAAACACTTTGCAACTGAAAATCTGCTATAGCTTGACAATTTTGAACCTTACACAACCATCTCTAAATCCACTCGTGCGTATTGAGTTTTAACCACCCAAACACTTAATATACCTCATATCTAAGTGATCCAGACCCATGTTCCCTCACTGTAACTCCTCCTCCATCATCCACCATTTTCAAATATCAAGCTTGCAGGTTGACTTGAGTAGGGAGATTCAGGGACTTTCAAGACAAAGTAAGGATTGGAATACACTCAGGGAGGTCTAGGCAAGCTAAACAGATCCTCGGGCCTTCTCAAAACTTTCTCAAACTCCATTCACGATCCCAGCTGCAAGAGGTAAAAAATTTAAACTTCTATCTCTTCATACAAGCAACATTTGGTCCTGATTTGTGAAAGCAAAATATAGATATCCTTGCTCCAAAGCTAACCATGTTCATAGTTTTCATTTATATCAACTGTGTATAGAGAATTTTGGATTTGAAATTTCTGCAAAAATTAGGTTTCAAATTAGGGCCAGTAAAATTCGATCTCATCTTTGACTTTTAGTTTACATAAATTATATGGTTGAACTCGTGGGAAGAAACACCACAACTTTCATGTTTGGACTTTCCATTTTTATGGAGAAATGAGAGAGATACAGGTGGTCCGGTCATGGCTCAAGGTTGAAGACAAAGTTGCCTTCAGGAGGCGTTTTCTAATATATATTTGTGCTTTTGTTTATATAAAAGGATGTACAGCCACCCCAGTGGTAAGGCAGCGTGCGTAAATACTAGAGGTCATGGGTTCGAGCCTCAGCGCGCTGCTTTTTGCAATTTTCTCATAATTTTCTCGCATTTTTCCATCTTTTTTGTCCCTTTGCAGCGTTGGGCTTCTGATTCATGGGCCTTGTGATTTTTTCTAACATTCACCTCCTATTTTCTTATGACACCCCTAGCTCAATATAATTTTATTTATTTGT